TTCAGCAGTTCCACCCCTTGAATGCACCGCCACGTCATATAGGAAAAGCATCTTCAGAAGTAAAACACCATCCTTTTGAGCTAATTCTTGATGTGGCCAAGGAAGACTCTTTAACCCCAACCGTTCAGGTCCACAGCGTCGGCGTAATACAGGTGGACCACCGTCTTCACCTCTCAACCTTGACACTGTCCTGCATGGAGGTCCTCCCACCACAGCAACCACCTTTCCTTCAGCCGCCAGATGCAGAAGATACTTCCAGACGCTCGAATTATGTAGGTCACCACCTTTTGTCAAATCCAGCTCCAGTACCTCCACATCCCGACTGGGAAAATGCCATTTTTGTTTTCCCGAAAATAGGTGTACCACCACCCTTTTTGCTCGTGCCAGCCGTCTCCTTTTATGACGGTTGAAAGGCAACGCTGCAATATCTCCACGTGGCAACAGCTCCATCAGCATATTTTCTGGTATATCCCCATAATACCACCGAAGAAATCTCCAGCATGCCTGGACGAACTCCTCCTCATTCGCTGACGCTGTCCGCGCTGCGCTTTGCAACGACGTTTTTACAGCCACCTCGTTGTCCGTATTCGGACACCCTTGAACCATACGTGCCACCTTCAAAGCTTGCTTTGGTGAGCACCAATCCATTTCATCAATGATCTGAAGCGCCACCTCCTTTTCCAAACAAGGGCACCCATTCAGATCACGAACGCGAAGTTCCCCCAGAACAGGATGTGAGGCTGTGCACTTGCCACCACGCCACTGAACTCTGAGACCAACCAAGGCGCTCGCTTTGCCAATTGGCACTAGTGGATCTACCATTTCAGGAGTTACCAGGGTCCCACCTGGGGTAATACACATCTCCCGAGATCCAACAGCTAAAGACACCAACACCTTTTGCTGCGGAAGCTGTTCTCCAGGACGAAGTGATCTGAGAGGATGTGATGCTCCCGAGTCCAACATGCCCATTCCCGAACACTCATTGGTGTCAGAAACCCTGGCCACATGTAGAACGCATACTCCTCGGCCTTCTCCCTGCTTCGGCAACAACGTGGCATCCGACGAACCGACTCCACAGTCCGCCCTTCCATTCCTCCATTGAGAATGGGACCAAGACGCACGCTGCCTTTCAGCATGCAAAACCATTTTTTCAGCTGTTTTGTAATCCATAACCAAGCAGCCATGTTCAAACCACAAGAGCTGGTCCAGCGAAGATTTTGCACCCACGTGACACATCCCATTGATCACAGTGAGGTTCGCCCCAAACTCCAAAATCAACCAGAGAGGGATAATCAGGGGCCCATTGTCTTCCCTAATCAACGTCCCTTTCTCTGTAATCCTCATTGCCACACCACCAAGCGCGCTTTGCACCATAACAGTAGTGTCGGGTAAACATTCCCATGGAAAAAGCGTCCGCACAAGATGCGTAGCAGCCGTATCCACCAACGCCACTCTCCCTTCCTGCTGAAACAATCCAGATCCACATAACATTCGAACACTGGGATCCCCGCTCGATGCTGACTGCGCTGATGACAGCTTCATAGATTTCAGCACTTCCAACGCTTCAGCAAGGACTTGATTGGGTGTTGATGGTGATGAGGGACTTGCAGAACCTTTATCCAATCCCGCATTAGCCGTCTCATCTCCCCCTTCAGCTACTTCTGCCTTTTTGGCATTTCCCCATTTCGCACCTTTGCCGCCCTTTCCCCCTTTGGGAGAATTCCCTTTAGATCTACTCCTCTCAGGGTTTGAGTCCACATTGGAACTTGCACCATCCTTATATGGACATTGCGGCTGCAGATGGCCAACGGCCCCACACTCAAAACATCTTCCTCGCTCAAGGGAGTCTTTGTCATGGCGGAATTTACAGCGGGCTCCGAACTTGCAACCTGCATCGGTCTTCCCATATATCCAACAGAAAGGACGTTCACCATCTCCGCTGTACCTTTTTCCTTTCCCTTTGCCTTTGTCACCCTCCTCTGTCTCGTCACCAGTTCCCTTTTGGGCCTTATTTAACCTGGCCCTTTTCTTGGCGTCCGAGTCCTGCTTCACCTCTTGTTCACCAGCACTATGCAATAGCAGTTCAAACTCTGCCTGTAACATTTCAGCTAGTTGTGTCGCAGTTTCAGAGGTCGGCGAGTAGTCCACCCCCAATTTCTCCCGAAAGGATGCCACTCTGAAATGCACTGTAGGGTGTTTTGCCAGCAACGCGGATGATAAAGCATCCAGTCCCTTGATAAGCAAGGTAGCGTCCGGCTCGGATGCTCGCAGCTCCCTTAATCGGGAACGCCATTGCGCCCATTGTCGCACTCCCTTAATAGCCTCTGAAATCGAGGTTGCTGAAGATGGTTGCACCAAGAAGTTCAACATTGTGCTGCGCTCATTTGCTCCACCTGGTTGGTAGACCGTCAGCAATTTGTAAAATATCATCACCGACCCCAACATTCGAGTGGAAACGATATCGGTCTTCAATCTCTCCGGAATCGCCTGTAGCAGCAAAGACACCGCTCTCTGCTCCAACAAAACATGCACAGTTTGAACCACCTTGAGCCCTTCTAGCTCAGCCTTGATGCCCAACCTTTCCAGTGGAGAAACACTCAACCATTTGGCATACGCTTGATATGCCTTTGAGTAGACGCATTGCCACCACACTCTTCCTGTATCTGTCAGCGAAGACAACATTGGTTCGATCATTGCGATCCAATCACCCAGTGCCGTCGGATTGCTTGGTGTGTAGTCTGCCAAAGTTGGAAGGCTCATCACATGCTTCCCGAGAGCCTCCGGACGTTCGGTTCCAGAACTATCACCAGTGATTGGCATACCGCGTGGCACCACTGCTCCAGGAGGTAAGCTGACCCTTCCACCAGGCCCTTGAGGTAGTCCATGTCCTATACCAGGCGTAACAGCTGTGAGCGGAACCTTTTCTAATTCCAACTTCCCAGCGACCATTTTCCACCGATACGGAACATCATCCACCATTGTATATCCACCCGATCCTGCTGAGTTCTCTTGCGTTGCAGTTTCCCGAGCTGAAACAAAACCGGGCTGGTTCCCCGCAGGTGCGACAGAACCATCAACACCTGATGGCACGGAAGTAATCGGAACATGTGTTAAACCAGGTGGTCCACTTGCATATCCACCACTTGCAAGACCTCCTGTGGGGTAATTCAATGGAGGCAATCTGGAGGGTTTCTTCCCTTCAGCCACATGCATCATTGGCACTTCTTTTTCGTCCTCCACTTGAACATCCCCCTTCCTGGACCCAGGCAAGGATTGAAGATCACAACCCTTTGGCAGGTCGTAGCCCTCAATAGGCAGCCATGTCCCATCAGGCAACACAGTCCAAAAACCACCCATACCATCCGTGTAGAAAACTTGTCCTGGCAGGTACTGCTTCTCTGGAGTCATTCCTAGAGGATATGCCGTGTTTGCGTCCACCACTCCAGAGCTCCGTGCCCTTGAAGCTGACCCAGATGCAGCAGAGGTATAGCTTTTTTCCTCCACCCGATGCAACCTGTTCCCCAGCTCCTTTGTCTGCACAAGCAACTCTTTCAGCGCACGCTTCACCACCGCCATATCTTCAGATTGCTCTTCACCACTAACATCAGGAATGAGTTCTTCGTCGGCTTGCACTCCACCAATAGTACCTCGTTCCATTTGTCCCATTAAGCCTGACGATGGTCTCTCAACAGGTGCCGGTTCCTGACCCAAAAGATCTTGCAGCGAAGGCGGTCTTCTCGTACCTTCACCACTCCTGTCCCCTCCGCTCGCGGGAAGACTTGCCGGCCTTGACTGCCTAAGTCTCATTTCTTCTTGAGCCCGCTCGCTCCAGAAAGGATTTGCTGCTTGAACCGGAACCACTTCGTTTTCCCCTGAGGCGTTGGTTGTATCATTGCAACCTCCCTACCATCTGTCAGTGCTTGTACCATTTGTTGTCGATCTTCACCCCCATCACCACGATTTCCTTCGGCTTCATTGGCCGTTGGCGACAGTCCAGGTTCAGAGCGACGCCGCATCATGTCCATGGCGTTAAACAAACGGAAAATCTTTACCAATTCCGCAGGAAGCCTAATTTGGGCTCATAACCTACGGGGGGCAACCGAAGGAGGACAGGGAACAAAACAGTCAACCCCAACAGAAGCCCTTAATACCCCTGGAACAACCAACAACCGAACAGCAAGCCCCCAAACCAAGGGCACACTTTTTACGAAATCTTCGACCGCTTTGGTCATGGCTTGAGCCAAAGATTACCGGGTTCATTGACCCTTCAACTTCCAATACCAACTCCTTTCTACAATACCAATTGCAGCTCCGCACAGGGTTTAGGGTTTAGGGCATAGGATTTAGGCTTAGGGCTTAAGGATGTTAAAGGCCGCAGCCACCCAGAACCCTAACTCTGCAACCTCACTGTCTCCACAAGCCCTATCCGAAGGGCCCCGAATCCCGACCCTGTCCGCGTTGTGCGCAGGGTTTAGGGTTTAGGGTTTAGGGTTTAGGGTTTAGGGTTTAGGGTTTATATAGGGTTTAGGGTTTAGGGTTTGTGTCGGAGGCTGCTTAGGATTTAGGCTTGAAGGCTTAAGGGGTTGAAGGGACCCAAACCCGAAACCCTGAACCCTGAACCCTAAACCCTAAACCCTAAACCCCAAACCCCAAACCCCAAACCAGCGTCACTCGCAACAGCCTGCAGCCTTGTACAAGCCTGGGGCTTTAGGGTGTTTGCTTATTGCGTTTAGGCTTTGGGGTATAGGGTTTAGGGTTTAGGGTTTAGAGTTTAGGGTTTAGGGTTCAGGGAGAGAGAGAGAGAGAGTAAAGCCGATGCCCTAAACACCCAACAAACCTAAACCCGAAACCCTAAACCGTAAACACCCAACAAACCTAAACCCTAAACCCTCAGCCCAAAAACCTAAACCCTAAACCCTAAACCCTAAACCCTAAACCCTAAACCCTAAACCCTAAACCCTAAACCCTAAACCCTAAACCCTAAACCCTACTCCACCCAGGTTGCTGCAGGGCGCCGACAGTCGGCCCCGAGAAGCAGTCCAGGACCGCATTTCAAAGGGTCTAGGGCTTAAGGTCTAGGGTCTAGGGTTTAGGGTTTAGGGTTTAGGGTTTAGGGTTTAGGGTTTAGGGTTTAGGGTCTGTTGTCTGTACTCGGAGGTCATGGGTAGTTCCAAGTAGAGTAGGGTTGATGGTTTATGGTTGGGGGTTTACAGTTTATGGCTTCATACAACCCTACGAAGTCATTTGGTGGGGCTTTAGAGGGTCTACTTGGAGAGGTTCATGGGTCCTAGGCGTACGCTTTCAGGTACATTGAGGGTTTAAAGCCCTAAACCCTAAACCCTAAACCCTAAACCCTAAACCCTAAACCCTAAACCCTAAACCCTAAACCCTAAACCCTAAGCCCTTAAGTAGGTTTCGAGAGCCCGAGGGTCTGACCAGGGCTTTCGGGGCTTTTGGGAGGCCTAAGGGGCTTCAGGGGCTTTAGGATCCTAAACCCTGAGCCCTTCACCGCTTGAGGGGTTTTACGGTGTAGGTTTGGGGTTTAGGGTTTAGGGTTTGGGGTTTAGGGTTTAGGGTTTAGGGTTTAGGGTTTAGGGTTTAGGGTGTAGGGTGTAGGGTTTGGGTGTAGGGTTTTTCGGTTTAGGGTTTAGGGCTGGGCCTGAACCCTGAGAGCCCTTTCGTGGCCCTTACGAGGCTCATGAATACCGACAATGAGTGGTGTTATACGCATGGTAGCTACAGTTCTAACTCAACTTTGCTTAGGATACTTCTGACCTCCAAACCCTACACCCTAGCCACGTATCCCTAAGCCCAAAGCCCTGAGCCCTAAACCCTAAACCCTAAACCCTCAACCCTAAACCTACGTAGAACCCGATCCGTGAACCTCCAAGCCCTGTGCAGAGAGGCTGTGCTGACGGCAAGCCTGGCCTTGGTCTGAGGGTGTGGGGGGTTTAGGGTTTAGGGTTTAGGGTTTAGGGTTTAGGGCTTAGGGCTTAGGGTTTAGGGTTTAGGGTTTAGGGTTTACCCCTTACAATTAATAAGGACCCCAGGAAGGTTCTAACATCGTAAACCCCTGTGTCGGTTTCATCTTCCGAGCTCAGGGCTTGGGGCCCTTAAAGGTTTAGGGTTTAGGGTTTAGGGTTTAGGGTTTAGGGTTTAGGGTTTAGGGTTTAGGGTTTAGGGTTTAGGGTTTAGGGTTTAGGGTTTAGGGTTTAGGGTTTAGGGTTTAGGGGCGTTGGAGGGTTCAGGGTTCAGGGTTTAGAGGGTGTAAGGGTGTAGAGGGTTTAGAGTGTTTAGAGGGGTTGAGGGTTTAGAGGGTCCAGAGGGTTTTTTTCAGGGTTTACCGGGTTGAGGAGGTTCAGAGGGTATAGAGGGTATTCAGGGTGTAGGATGTATAGGGTTTAAACCTAAACCCCCTCAACCACGAGCTTAAGACTCCAAAGCTTCCGGCTTCTTTGGATGCAGGGCTGATTCTTTGGTTCATTGCTTTTTTCATGGAGAGTGGGAGGGGGGTTGGGGTCGTCGGACATTGTTCGAGTCTCTGGGGAACCTCTGACCTAAGGTTCCTGCGCCTCTACTTCAACTAGTGTGTCGGGGTTGGGCTTGGGATGTTCCCCCTCATACTCACAGTCCTCAATAGGGATCATCGCACCCCCCCCTAGTAGAATCCCGATAAAGGACTGCTAGAATGAGGGGGAACACCCCAGATTTGGGAGATTCTCGTGTCTAAGGGTCATGGGTTGGAAGTGTAGGCTAGATTGTTTAGGCCTTCCCTAAACCCTAAACCCTAAACCCTAAACCCTAAACCCTACACCCTAAACCCTAAACCCTAAACCCTAAACCCTAAACCCTAAACCCTAAACCTAAACCCTAAACCCTAAACCCTAAACCCTAAACCCTAAACCCTAAACCCTAAACCCTAAACCCTAAACCCTAAAACCCTAACTCAGGGTTCAGGGTGTTGCGATTTGCGGCTTATAGGCGGCTCAGGGGTGTGAAACCCCGTGCACGCCGGACAAAGGCTGCGACGCATGAGCTGCAACGGTCGTAGGGCTCTTTAAGACCTTCTCTTGAAAGCAAGCTTCTGCGATTCCTCAGAAGCAGCCATTGTCAAAGAGATGTTCAACATACCCCTTGGGCACACCCCCTTAAACGAAATTGAGGGGTATGGTAAAGGCCTGCCTTATATTCTCCTTTTCGAGGTTAAGGGGTATGGGTTTGGGGTTTAGGGTTTAGGGGTTTAGGGTTTAGGGTTAATTTTGTTTAGGCATTTTGAAGCAGCCTTTCTTGCCAACAGCCGTATGGTTATGGCTTTTGGGTTTAAGGCTTCGTGCGCCGAGCGAGGTGAATGACTATCTCCGTCTCCAAGCCCTGGTGCGAGCCTACACAGACAGGCGTGGGCATCTTTGGTGTGTGTAGGGTTTAGGGTTTAGGGTTTAGGGTTTAGGGGTGCGTAAGTGTGCCTGAAGAATATTGTTTCGTAGGTTGTGAGCATAAAGCCGTGTGCAAACAACTCTTAGGTAACCGAAACCCTAAACTGCCCCAAACCCTAAACCCTAAACCCTACAGAAGCGGCCCTCAACCCTAAGCCCCAAACTCATTTGTTGCATCGGTCGGCCTTATTTTGCCTAACCGATTGATCTCATTGGCCTGGACGCTGGACCTGGCATTTATCTGCAACTCTTGTTGATCCAGTTTGCTTGACGACTCCGCTTTGTTTGCCGGTGCCATGAAGGTGTGATCTGTTTGGCAAAGGATCCACGTAATCGGGTGTGTAAAGTTGTGGTGGTATTACGGGCTGTGGGTGTTAGTAGATGACATTCCCCAAGCAAAACAGGGAAGCTCAGTGGGGCCCACACAAGAAGCCTAGTTTGCCAAGCAACGCCACACAACCACAGCCTTAAACCTTAAACCCCAAAACCCGAAACCCAGCTGCAGCAGATACGGCTTGCTGATTGAGGCACGGAGAGGGACGGGAAGAGTGCAGCAGCAGGGGATATGATTAGGGCATGCTCCTCCAAGATCTGGGGGTTGATAGGATGAGTTTTTACGGGCTTAGGATTTAGGGGTTGACACGGCTTCGGGTTGGAGTTTACAGGGTTTAGGGGCTATCTCACCGTATTCTAGGCATGAAGTTCTTTCCAGCCCCCGCGGTCTTATCACCCGCCGAACAAGACCAGGTTTTTTCAGGACCCACTTTGTTCTTGGAGCTGCGAAGAAGCTCCCAAGCAATTCGTAAACCCTTAAACCCTTAAACCCTTCAACCCCTAAACCCTAAACCCCTAAACCCCTAAACCCTAAAAGGCCTAAACCCCTAAACCCCTCAACCCCCAAACCCCTAAACCCCTAAACCCCCAAACCCCTAAACCCCTAAACCCCTAAACCCCTAAACCCCTAAACCCTAAACCCTAAACTCCCACCAAGCTAACAAATCTTCAGCTCCTTTGGCTCTGGTCCCCTCCCCTCTGCGTGCCTGCAGCGTGAGGCCGTGGGCGGCAGGGTTCGGGCTTGGTGTTTTAGGGTTTAGGGTTTAGGGTTTTAGGTTTAGGGTTTAGGGTTTAGGGTTGCCCGCCTTGTCTAAGGGTAGATACATGGTCCCTTAATTTGGTCCCTTACCTTCTGGAAAGATTTCCGAGGTATGTGCCCTTGGGTTGTATGGGGTATTTTAGGGGGCCCTCATTTAAGGGCCCATATTACGGGACCATGTAACAACGCTTAAGCATCAAAGTTTGTGGACCCTGCCATGTTCTTAGGTTATTTTTATCTATAGCCGTAAATCAAGGGTTCTCTAGGGCGTTTGAAGGGTAGGGTTTAGGCGAGCTGTTGGCAGACTGCAACTTTAAGGGTTGCATATGTGGAGGTCTAGGACTTAGGTACCTCTTGTAGGGTTCTTAAGGGAGGGGGGTTGAAGGGCGGGGGGTATGTAACCCAAGGTTCCCGATTACTCCCTACTACTCCCCAGGCTTCCCTAGGCTTCCCTAAGGTTTCCTAGGTACCTGCCCGCCTTGAACCCCCCTCCCTTAAGACACCTACAAGTATTTGGCCTTTCTGATATTACCTAAATCCTAAACCCCTAAACCCTAAACCCTAAACCCTAAACCCGGCGTATGGCTGTGCTAAGCGAAAGGGTACTGGCATCGGGCACAGGCGTGTTTTGAGGGTTGGGTGGTTGTTTGGGGACCCTAAGCCCTATACACCCTAAACCTGAAGCCCGACGCCCGAAGCCCTAAAGCCTAAACCCCTGACCCCTCGATCCAAGCCCTATAAGAAGGTTTGGGGCCGGGACTTGCTGGGGACATCACGGCCAAAGGCAGCCAGATCATGGAAGTGCCGAGCATCAACATTCCGAAGCTGGCCTAGCATCCGCGAGCTGAGGGCCATGCTGCGAAGGTGCAAGGGTGGCAGGCCCTGGGCTGTCCAGCATGCCTCGCCGTCTCCGTTTGAGCGGCGCGCCGGCTTGCAAAGAGGCTCTCGGGTGTATCTCCAAGCCCTGCGTGAGCCTTCGAAGCCTACGCGCTAAGCCCTAAACCTTAAACCGTAAACCCTATACCCTTAACCACCCTAAACCCTAAATAAACCCAAGTCCCTAAACCCTGAACTTCCCTAAGCCCTGAACCCTAAACCCTAAACCCTAAACCCTAAACCCTAAACCCTAAACCCTAAACCCTAAACCCTAAACCCTAAACCCTAAACCCTAAACCCTAAACCCTAAACCCTAAACCCTAAACCCAAGCCTTATAAGAGGGGGTTTAGGGCTTCGGACCCAGGAGTCCCTCGTGGTACCCATGGGCGAAGCAGCTGCTGGGCAACAATGGCACTCAATCGCGGTTTAGGGTTTAGGGTCATTTAGGGTTTAGGGTTTAGGGTTTAGGGTTTAGGGTTTAGGGTTTAGGGCTTAGGGTTTAGGGTTTAGGGTTTGGGGTCATTTAGGGTTTCAGGGTTTAGGGTTTTAGGGTTTGGGGTTTAGGGTTTAGCTATCACTCTCTCTGTGCCCTAGCAGCCTCGAAGCCCTGCCGCAAAGCCCTCAACCCTAATCCCTTAACCCTAAACCCTGAACCCAGGGCTGTGAGGGAAGTTGCATGGTCCCTTCTTATGGCCCCTTACCTTCTTGAAAGGGTTCTGAGGTATGGGCCCTTTGGTTTATGGGGTCTACAAGAGGCGCCCATGTAAGGGCCCATACTGAGGGACCCTAAACCCTAAGAAGGACCCGCAGCCCAACCATAGGCCACTCAAAATGCACGCCTACATTACCGCAGCCCCCAAGCCCCTATCCCTCACGCCCGAAATCCTAAACCCTAAGCCCTAAACCCTAAACCGAAACCCTAAACCCTCCCAAGATCTACCAAGGATGACGAGATTGTAGCCCTCTCGGACTCGTCGAATGAAGGTTGGCAGCCGTTGGTGATGAGACCTCCTCCAGGCCACTTTTTTGTTGGAGTTTAGGGTCTAGGGTTTAGGATTTAGGGTTTAGGGTTTAGGGTTTAGGGCTAGGGTTTAGAAATCCGGGCGTATGGTTCAGGGCTCCAGGGCACTAGGGCACTAGAGCCCCCCCCCCCCCCCCAGAAAGCCAGCTCTCGCTTACTGCGGTGTGAGTTTTTGTTTGCGCAGCCAAACAAGGGGAAGACCGGGTCATACATCAGTGCTTCGGGCTATAGATACACCCATGTCAGCCCTGGCAGAAGGTCAAAAGCCGTCCCGAAATGCTTCTGGACCCGACTTAATCCCTCAACCCCTGAAATCCGCCAAGCCCTACACCCTACACCCTACACCCGATAACCCTAAGCCCTAAGCCCTAAGCCCTAAGCCCTAAGCCCTAAACCCTAAACCCTAAACCTAAACCCTAAACCCTAAACCTAAAACCCTAAAACCTAAACCCTAAAAACCCTAAACCTAAACCTAAACCCTAAACCCTAAACCCTAAACCCTTTCCTGGTTCCAGGGCTGGAGCATCTGGAAGCATATCTTCCGCAGCAAAAGCCCGTTTGGTCCCTGGCACTGGAGGCAGTGGCGTTTAGCGTTTAGGGTTTGGGTTTAGGGTTTAGGGTTTACGGTGAAGGGTTCTAACCCTTCACAGCGCTCCCTAAGCCCGAAACCCTAAGCAAAGGTTCTATAGCCCTACACTTAGAACCAAAACCCTGAACCTTAATCAACAAAAGGTTCCATAGCCCTAACCCTACAGTACTCCAACATCCCCGTTTGGGAGGTTCGTGAGGGGAGGGACGAGGGTTTGGGGTTAGGACCCAGCGCAGGCCTCATTCCCTTTTCTTGGGGCCTAGGTTCCCTTGTAATCGGTCCCTCTAGACCCAAAAGAGGTCCAAACCCTCAAATTGGGGTCACAAAACCCTAAATCTAAACCCTAAATTCTAAACCCTAAATTCTAAACCCTAAAATTCTAAACCCTTCGCCCTTTTAGGGTGAATTTGGCCCCCCAGGCACCAGGTTCAAGGGTTGATGCTACGGGGATTCAACGTGGAGGTTCTAGGGACCGATGGATTCCGAAAGCCACAAAGGCAACCCTAAACCCCAAATCCCGGACTTGGAGGCGTTTAGGGGTTGAAGGTAGGGTTTGGGGTTTAGGGTTTAGGGTTAGGGTTTAGGGTTTAGGGTTTAGGGTTTAGGGTTTAGGGTTTAGGTTTTCGGGGGGGGGGGGGGGGGGTTAGGTTTAGGCCTTAGGGATGCCCCCACATAGATGACTCAGGACTTCAAGGATCTAGGACTTAGGAGTTCGGGCTTCGGGTTTAGGGCTTAGGGTGGGGGTTCCCATGTTGCGAAGAGCCCCAGCCCCCTAAACCCTAAACCCTCAACCCTAAATCCATCTTAAGATCCTAGAGAAGGTGGGAATCGATCAGCCTCCAGCCCAGCTCCATTTGTGCCGCTCGGCAGACGTGATGGCTCGGCAATTGGAGCCCCTAAGCCCTAAGCCCTAAACCCCAATCCCTACACCCAAAACCCTAACCCCTAAACCCTAACCCCAAAACCCAAAACCCTAGGCCTCAACACATGAACCAGCCTAGTTAACTTGGCAGCCTCCTCTCTGGACCCCTGTTCCGACGACGTGCTTCACCAAACCCTATAAATCAACCCTCAACCCTAAACCCTAAACCCTAACCCTAAACCCTAAACCCTAAACCCTAAACCCAGAGAGGGGCATGGGCGTAGGGCTTAGAGCGCGGCGGAGCTGACTCGCCTCAGCCACTCGGAAGAACAGATGTCATCAATCCTGGGGCCTGCTAGCCGGAATAAGCCCTGTAAAGCCCTTGATAAACCTTCAATAGGGTTTAGGGTTTAGGATTTAGGGTTTAGGGGTTAGGGTTTAGGGTTTGGGGTTTAGGGTTTAGGGTTTAGGGTGAACAAGGAGCCCTGCCTACCTGAAAGAACTGCTTCTTGGCTCCTTGCGCTGAGGGACGGAGGAATTTGGCCTGCACCCGAGCAGCATCGAGTGGCTCACATCCACGAACCTTGGGGCGACGAAATGAGCACTTGGGTTTAGGGTTTAGGGTTTAGGGTTTAGGGTTTAGGGTTTAGGGTTTAGGGTTTAGGGTTTAAGGTTTAGGCCTTAGTAATTAGAAATAGGTTTTTTTTTTGTTGGGGGGGGGGTATCTTTATTATAGTATAGTCATAAGCTGGTTTTTTTCTCCAGGGTTTACTCCAAAGTAGGGGAACCTCGGGGAACGAAATGAGACCTAAGAGGGTTTATGGTTCCTAGACCTTAGCAGGTTTTGTACAAGTATAGGATGTCCCTAATATTTTACATGCTTCCTGATTCTTTAAGCTCAACAAGGAACCAATACAGATCATCTTTTGAAGAGTAGTACCCCTCCCCAAGAATTGGAAGCGAAACGATCCCCAAAAGGGTTTATGGTTCATATACCTTAGTAGGCATGATTGTGGTATAGGATATACGACCCCAATACTGAACCCTAAACCCTAAACCCTACACCCTAAGCGTCCCCAGGAAGA